AAAAAATAGTCTTGAAATTTTGCTAATATATTAAATATAACTATAAGAATATATAATATTTGTTTGAATAAAGATTATTAATAAAATTTTTGAGATATGAATTTGGTCAGAGTTTGGAATTTGGGTGCAAATAAACTAATTTTATAATAGTTTGAAATTATGCTAACAAGTATATATATAGCAAAAGCAAAAAGATAAGAAGAGTACAAAAGTAAAAAGATGAGAGTTTTCTAATAGAATATTAGAAAAACAAATAAAATTCAGAAATGTGAGAAGAAATAAAGAAATGTGAAAGTTGTCTAGACAACAAAGATAAAGCATACAAAGATACAGAAGCTAGTAATCAAAGAGAAAGATATTAGAAATAATTCTAAAAAATTGTATAAATAAAGAAATAAAAATAATAAATTTTGTACTAAGATCAATAGCTATGAATAGAGATCTTTAAAGAATTAAGATAAATGAGTAGCTTTTTACTGGTTTAAGAGTAGTTGAAGAATATGAACTCAAAATAATAGAAGTACAAAACTTTAATATAAATCTAGTAATAATGTTAAAGAAGGAAACAAAAATAATAAAGATAAGAAAAAAGAAGATATTAGAATTTTACACAGATAGCTCTTTAGGTAAAGGAATAGATAAAGAAAATATGAGAGTAGGATGAGTAAAAATAGATTAGATAGAAAGTAATATAATTAGTATAGGAAACTTAAGAGTTATTAACTGGCTATTATCAACTAAAGTAGAGTTAGTAGAAATTTGATTAGTTCTATTATTAGTATAATGAAATACAATAGTTAGAGTTCTCACTAATAGTAAACAAGTAATAGAGAGTATATTGAAAGCTTATAAGACTAAATAATATAGCAAGTAGATTAGAATAGATAACAAAATAATTCTAGAAAAAATTGTATCACTTATTAGGCAAAAAGATATCAAATTAGAGCTCAAAAAAGTTAAAAGCTATGCTAATAACAAATAGAATAATAAAGCAAATTGATTAGTAAAAGAAAGCAGAAAGTCATATATAGTTCTAAATCTTGATATAGTTAAAAGTAAAAACTTTAACTATAATATAGTATAGAAATCAAATAAAATCGAGAACTCAGTTAAACAATTCATAATAAAGTTAATAACAAAATACAATGATGCAGAGTGAGCATACTAAAAGAAGGATAAGCTTGCTAAAACTTCAAAATATAATTAGAAAAGGCTATAGCAGAGGATTAGAGAATAAACTACTTGTCTATAAAAAATAGTAAATATCTTATTATACAGATCAAATATCTGATAAATAGCTTCCTAATACTTAGTAAACTGAAGAAATGAAGACTAGATCTCTATAAAAGTGATTATTGTATTTTATGCAAAAAAGAAATCTCAGAAGACTTTAACTACCTATTTAGATACTCAGCTTTGCAAGATTCATAGAAACAAATCAAAAAAGCAGTACTAGAAAATATAAGCAAGCTTAAATTTGAAGGAAATTATTGTTCAGATATACTATCAAGAATAAGAGAGATTATCTTTTCAAAAAATAAAGAGAGCTAATACTAAAAAAGGAAAAAACTAGTTATCAGACTAGAAGAAAAAAAAATAGCTAAAGATATAGGAGTACTAGCACAAGAAAAAAGTATTATAAGAACCTAGTTAAATAGTATTTTCTTTGTAACTCAAAGGAGCTTTACAGAATTTATATAGAATTAGCATTATAAAAAGATAATTCTATGAAAAAAGAAAGAAAGAATTATAACAAAGCTCAAGAGAAACAAAATAAAGGAAAAAAACTTAAAGTGAGAATCTGAGCAGATAAAAAAAGGAAAAGATTACTTACAAAAAAGAAAAAGGAAAGAGGAAAGAAAAAAAGTTAGATAATAGCATTAGTAGAGAATGTAGTTGAAAAAAAAATTAAGAAGAGAAATATAAGTTAGTAGAGTTAACTTTGAATTAGTTAGATAAATTGTTTTAGCTATTTGACTAGTATGACAAGTTGCATCTGAGCATTTTAGGAGTAGCTAGATAATATCAAACTTAGAAAATTAAGTAGATTATATAATCAGATATAACTTAGCTTTGGTCATAGTTAACAACTTAATAAAGTTTGTGATGTAACTATCAAAAAAAAAAAAAAACAAGATTATATATTAATAATTTCTACTATTTATAATTTATGAAGAGTATACAATAAACTATATATACAACTTTAGTTATTATATATTTTAAGTAGTTCACTGTACAGATATTAGATTATCTAATTAGTTCTATACTATGCTACTATATCTGTAATCTATTTATAAGTTACTTATTTAAATACTCTGTTTATCAACTTATACAGATCTAATCTAATGTCACTATAACACCTAACTACTTAAGCTAGTAGCTTGTTATAGATTTATTTATTCAAAACAGTTCAGGTTCTCATAAAATATATTATATCTAATGCATTGTTAATATTATAAAGCTAGTTAATTTTAAAGCAAACCTACTAGAGTAATCTATACTTATTTTATGAATTTACCTAGCTTAGACTCTTATAGATATTTGTATAATTCTAGATTTTATTATAATCTTCTATTGATCAGTTAACTTAGTTCTTTTTCAGTATCTAACTGGTTTTAGTTACCTTTTACCTAGAGATCTTGAAACTTTCTATCTTTATTAAACTGAGTTTTTTTTTCAGATCAAACTTTAACTAATATAATCCTGTTATAAGGTTGTATTACTTTATTAACTCAGAATTTCTACTATACAAATCCTTTGCTCATATATCTTATTAAAATTTATTTATGTAATATTATATCATACTTCTAAGTTTAAATTGATTTAATGTAACTCAATTTACAGAGATATACCCCAGAAATGAACAAAGTTTACCATAATATATTCAAATTTATCGATAGTAGGATTTGAATTTCAGACCTATTGCATAGTGATCTAACAACCTAACCACTATACTAGATCACTAGATCTTAAGCTTAATTCTTATAACTTCTTATTCTAATAATCTATTAACAAATATTATTTAATAGATAAAATTATATACCAAATTAATAAATTAATGATAAATAGATTATTAATACAGAGAAACGTCTTTAAATATATTCTTTATAAATACACAAACTATATAAATTCTCTCTAAATACACTTGCTAGTTTAGTTATAAGTATATAAAATATATATAATTTCTTTTTAAAAAAGTCCATATGGTTCCAAAGAGAGTGCATTTAGAGAAGTCCCTCTGTAATATCAAATAAAGAGTTTGTCATAACCCAAGCTTTTAAAATAGCTTTGTCGATTTCATTTTGCTCATATTGTAGCAAATTATATTGATTTAATTGTCTTTGATCTGAACTCTTTATTTACTTCTAATTGACAATTTTGTTTGAAAGTAATTCTTGCCAATACTCTTTTATATCTATAGAAACATCAGAGCAGATATTCACAAGATGAACTTCCATTTCTCCAGGATGTCCACAATAGCAGACGCTATCAACTTTCGAAAACAATCTTGCAAAGAATTAACTTCAGCTGTCTATCGCATCAAAGAGTAATACGAAAGTGTTGCCAAAAAAGATTATAACCACATCATCAGTTAAATAGAAAAACATCAACTCATAATCCAATAGTTTTTTTAGGTTTTCGTGTGTATTAGATTATTGAATCAAACGATGAGATAGTTGTAATATGAGTAAAGGGCTAAGATGGTAAGTATTTGCGATTGTTTGTGCTTCCTGACATTTTTTATTTTCCTTAAAATCTTTTAATACAATTAATAAAATAATAATCCGTTGTTCCAATAATGAAGATCCATAGCAAAGTTACTTGAGAGATCTCCGAACGAAGGTCCCGTTACATAAACCCCAAAGATCGAAACTCAACCACTATATTTTAAACCAAAATTTCGGTATCCAATTGTTAAACCTAATTTAGGTTCAATTCCGGTTATTGATCCTAAAATTTTGATCAGTTGAATCGGGAACCGGACATTCTAAAATTCAGTAAAGTTTGAAAGGCTTTCACCTCGCTTCAGCTAATAAACTTTTTACTCTACTCTTGAATATATATGTACTGTATATTTATAACGAATAAGCTCATTTTAAATGTCCATGATGGTTTTTATATTGATCACAGCGATTAACCACTATATATCAGACTTCTATCCTCGAATATGTAACCCTCAGATTTTAGAATGAATTCAAACAGTGTAATTCTATAGAATGCCCGTGATTATACAACAAAACTTAATAGTGCATGCTCAAAAACAAAAAACAAGTACTACGTACAAAGAGACCGTTCCAAATAAGACATAAATACATTAGTATAAATATTGATATAAAGTACAGTATATTTATCGATCATCGCTTTTAAAGAAAAATAAGGTTTGAAGAGAATTTAAGAGAAATCTAGTAGTTGGCTAGTGTAAATATACTCTTTATAACGTTAAGTCAAATTTAAATAACTTTATCGTATTATTGGTATTATCGTGAGCAATATAATTGATGATCTGAATAAAAAGGCTAGCATGTTTTATTTACTGTTGCTATCAGCTATTTTTAAATTGTTCTGGTAGACTTCACCGATAGCAATTTCGCCGATAGCACAAACTAATTCTAAATTAGGTTAAATTAGCATTTATCATTATATATGTGACTGAAACTATTTCGGGTTATTAGACAATAGCGATAGTATCTCTTGCATATAGGGATAGGCATTATACGGTATAATAAGATTTGGTATAAATACCGGGTATTATACCATATATTAATATAGTGCCTTTTTTCCCAAGTTGTATACCAATAAATTTAATATATTATTCACATGACAACTTTGTTCGAAACGGCGCTCCGGAATCCAACCGATCTAGAGATGTACCTCGCGTGAGATAACAAAATTCTCACCCCCACACCTTGCGCAAGATGATGTCAACCTTGCGTGAAATAAAATTTTTCGATAATTTTAATAATCAGCGAGTTAACTACGTTCTTATTATAATACATGTCTCACATAAAATCGCTCAAAATCACGCAATGTAACTGTGCGTGAGGTTGTGAATATATGCTAGTTTGACCTCGCGCCTTTTCCTAGTTTTATTTATACAAATATTTCATAAAAATGAATACATTTTCAAGATTCGTAAAGGCGATAAATTGCAATACGCCTAACCACTAGTTCAAATGATGATTCCGATGGTACATTAAAAATAATACGAATTCCAGCTGAAATCATTGATAACGATAAATTATGGAATTTCTTTATATATTTCCTCAACATGGAATAGAGTGAGTGATGTGAGAAATTCAAGCCTTTGATACAAAATTTATGTCCTAACACTCGGTTAGAGTGTTAAGGTACAGTGCAATAAGCACACTCCCGAGGTATCTTGACTCTTAACATGTTGTATAGTGGTGCACAATTTCAGAATTACACGGAAACGTAACGGTAAATTTTATGATTAGTTGAGCTATATACCCACATTTCATATATGACACTGAGTCATTTAAAGTCGACTACTGAAGCTACTTCAAGTCGAGTTATTATTTAATTCTTTTAAAATCAATTATAGATTAGAATTCGATTACTAGGAACATTGCATAGCAGATAGAAAGTACAGTGTAAGTAATGCAGATAAAGAAGAAATAAAACAAGCCAAAGAAATTAGCATATATTGAAGTTAGTACAACATCTTTTATAATACAAAGGTACAGTATACGTATGTCATAATCGCTATTATAACAAATTCGGGTATTTTTTCATAAAGACTCCTATTTTACGTATCTTTTAACATTACCAATTTAAAAGCATTAGTTTAAAGTAATTATTCTTTAAAATAAATTTGCAAGAAAAAGATAAATCAGTTATTAGTCAAGTTGCTTGTCTTTGCATCCAATACAATGTTTAAACTTATTTTTTAAGCCTAATAATGACAAGTAGAATATATGCTATAATATTCTTGAAATAATAAGTCTTAAACCTTTTTCCTTGATCGATCAGTGTTTTTTATTTGGCGCCAAACTTTTAGGCTTGCTGTGAAATAAACGGAATTATTTAAGTTCAATATAAAATATCATTTTTATTGCAAAGAAAGCTGCATATTTCGATACGTATAACAAATAAAACAAATTTCGATTCGACGCACGTTGGATCGCACAAAAGGATATTTTGAGACAATGCAGTCAAATTGTACTACTTCGGAGTTTTACAACTATCGCTATTATCTAGACTAAAATTTTTTATTTGGCCTCTAGAGAATAACAAGCTGGAATATGAGATATTCGAAAGAGCTCGATAATGCTATTCATGAACGGAACATCAAGTCATATGACTTTACTAAATTTTCTACGTTGGAAGAAATTGGTAGAGGGGGATTCGGAATTGTGTATAAATCAGAATGGAAAGACCGAGGATCAATTATTGCTCTTAAAAAATTAGACTTCAATTCAAATTTTTCAGATAG